AATGGGCCAGGAGCCAAAGTTTGCCAACCCCTGAAATATAGGGTCGGCTTATGAAAGGGTCATACAGTTTTTGCTATTTTTACCTATCCATCTTGGGGGGTCGGCTTATAAACGAACGGGCTAATGAACGAGTATATATGGTAATTTGAGTCATTTTGTATCATCTGCAAACTTTGCCACCTCACTGTTCACTCTTTTTTCCAGATCATTTATGAAAATGTTGAACACTGGTCCCAGTGCAGATCCCCAGGGGACACCGCTATTTCCTCTCTCCATTCTGAAAACCATTTGTTCCTACCCTTTGTTTCCTGTCTTTTAACAAGTTACTGATCCATGGGAGGACCTTCCTTATTATCCTATGAGTGCTTAGTTTGCTTAAGAGCCTTTGGTGAGGAACCTTGTCAAAAACTTTCTGAAAGTCCAAGTACACTATCTCCACTGGATCACCCTTGCCTCCATGTTTGTTGACCCCCTCATAGAGTTCTAATAAACTGGTGAGATATGATTTCCCTTTACAAAAGCCATGTAAAGGGCTTAACAAAAATATATATTCTGTTTCTTCACTGAATCGGCATTTTCAATCAAATGCTTAAACTTCTCATGTTTGGTGTGTTTTCTGTTCTAACACTCTTGCCAAGAGCAGCTGGGTTCAGGTAGCCTGAGTCAAGTACAGACTGTATTCCACTGGGTCTAGACAGCATTGTGGGTTATGGAATTTACATGAAATTTCGTGTAAACATACAAAAATTTTACAAAAATTACAAGAGGCTGCACGTATATATGATGTTGCAGAAAAATTATGATACTATATTGTATTATTTCAGGTATAGCCTGTGATGAAATAATTAAAGCCTGTAACATTCTTCAGAGGACAGAAGTTACGGCTGTGCATTCAGCCATAACTTAGGCATTTTCTGACTTCGGGGTCTCTAGTTGGTCAACCTAAGTGTTGCATTAACATAGTTTCTTGTGTTTAATAATGTTATACTCTAATGAACTCCATTAGAACTGACTATTGCTGGCTAGAATCAGAATCATCTGTATGTCATAAGCAATCAGCTACTGGAGCGTCTCCTGGAAAGCTCTGTTTTTGGAGCAGTAAGGTCCAAATTCTGTCCCCACTATCAAAGTAAAGTTACAACTGGCCATAGTGACAGCTGTGAAGCCCTAGGCGGCCATGGATTTGTTACAATACAAATCCTTGACTTTCCAGGCTATCTCTATAGCAATCGTTGTTGCAGTCCTTTCCTGCAGCTTACAGGTTGTCTTCCTATGCATGAAAATTATTTTGCCTCATTTTTCACTTTATCCCCTCTTTTCTCACTAATAAACAAAGCTGGCAAGAGACTGGAAATATGATTGTTTCCAATTCAGACCTGAAGCTACCTCACATCTTCCCACAGAAAAACACCTGGGAGGGGCCAGGTCAGGGCAAAATCTCTCTGAGATCCAATTTGTGAAGTTTCCTTCAACCATCCTCTGTTGGGAGAACTTGGGGTGTAGGGAGTCAGAAGGGCACAGGTTTTGAAGTCAGTGCCATTTCCAATTTCTGAAAACCAGGAGCCTTTCTATAGAGACAGCCACGCTAGGAGTTGTACTGCAGAGATTGCTTCTATTCTGCTGGTGCCCCTTCCATCAGGAGCTGTGCTGCCATTGGCCGCTCAGTAACAGCCATGAAGTGGACCCAGTGGAAGTATTGAGCTTTGAGCTTTATTGCCTCCCTGTATCTGTATGGAAATCTGTGAGCAGAGCAAGCTCTGGCACTACAGAAAGGAGCATTTCTTCATCCCCTAACCTCTTTCTTCAAATCCCCTCTGAGTTCCATCCAAGCAGCATACAATCTGAAGGGCCTGGTGATCGTGGGGCACAGTGTAAGGGCAGCTCAGGCCCCAGTTTTTCAGACTACTTAGTAATAAGATTGGAATATTTTCCAAACTTTCCATATCAGTCATTTGATTAATAGAGAGCATGGGAGGAGTTTGTAGCCTTGCAAGGGTGTATTTCAGTTCACCCTGCAAATCTTTGATGTAAAAACCTATTGTCTATAGTGAAGGAATAGGCAGAGAGACTTTGTAACTGGTTTTCTCTTCTGAAAGATGTACGTCTTCACTGACTGAGTAGGACACTTTTTTAGAGCTGACAGCTGGTATCCACTGAAATAGTTTAGGAGGATTATGTCATTTGAAAGAAATGTTAAATGAGGCTCACTATCAATGCTTCCAAAAGATTCTTGCAGAGAGGTTCCGTGTAGTTGTCTCAGAGACAGCTTGTGATATGATCTGCAGTATCTGTCACTCCGTACCTTTTCAGAACTCTCCAGGAATCATTTCATCCTATGTTATACTACAAATTAACTCATAACTTTTAATGACACCAGTCATTTTACATAGAGTGTTGCATATCAGACATGGATTTTGAGTGTTGAAATATTTTACCTATTCCATCTCATCCCATAACACACTAGCACTGGACTTTTAACATATGTATAATTAAATGCCATCAGTGTTTTGTTACAAAAGATGGTGTCTCTTTCTCCCATTTCAAATGTGTTGTTATCTACTGAGTAATAACAGTTTGCTCAGCACTTTTGAAATTTACAGGAAAAATTTCCCCCATCCCATTGATCTTACAAACTTTCTCATGTATGAATTAATACATTGCTCAGTGTGGGTGTGGTTGGGTGGGTTTGGCGAGGCCGGTTGTGAAATGCAACATGGTGTGATTTAACATATAGGTTTTATCAACATGAGTTTGTGATAGCTACATTGCTCACAAATGGGAAAACAAGTGAGTTGTGGAGGTCATCCAAGGTCAGTCCAAATAAACTTTTATACCATCGTGTATTCCATTTTGTCTAACAGTAAAAAACTAACCAAACAAAAACACCTTAACAATGTTTGAGAAGGTATTTAACATGTTATTTGGGACTTTTTTTTTAATATCTGGCTCCATCTTTAAAGCCAGATGTCTTAGTTGCCATGAGTCCACCTGTACAGGACTTGCAGCAACCTATAAAAACTTCTGTATTTCTATACATTTCTATATTTAAAGTTGTGCCATTTCTAAGTCCGGATTCTCAGGCTCTTACAGGGGTAGAAATGAGTGCTGGATCCCCATGAGAGTGGGAAAATCTTGTCATTTCTAGCTCTGCAATGCAGCAAAATATCAGAGAGCCATGATATGCTTATACCTAGAAAAGCCATCTCGGCTACGTAACTGAATCTTGTCCTTTTAATGTCTAACTTTAAAAGGAAAAAGTGCCGCCATCTCTTAAAGAAGTGATTTTTGGACCCCTGCACCCTGATTCTCAGAAGTACTGAGCTCCCACAGTTCCCATTGATTTCAGTTGCAGATTTGGTTGCTCAACATGTCTGAAAATCAGGCCCTGGATGTATAAAGTTGAGTACATAAAAATTATGGCACCCAAAATAAGAGGCCACTTCTTCAAATTTGGACCTTAATTTGCCAAAGATCATCAAGGAAGTCTTTGCAAAGCCAGAAATAGATCTGAGATCTCCAAGTTTGTGCCTTGTTACAAGTCCATCCTTCTTGCCCTTTGAAATTTGCTGCCTGTTTATGAAATCCATTTTTGTATATCTATAAGCATGAATATGTTTTCCTCTTCTGATGCAGAATATAAACCCCGATTTGTTCATACTCGCCAAACTCGGTCCTTGTCTGTGGAATTTGAAGGTGAAATATTTGACATAAACCTGGAGGAGGAGGAACTACAAGTGTCGCAGTCCAAAAGTATTAGTAAGCGTCATGACACTGAAAATGAGGAGGATTCAGAAGACAGTAATGATGGTGGTGATGGTGAAGAAGAAGAAATGATAGCTGATGGCACCAATGCTGTTGGCCAACCTGATTCTGTCAGAGTGACACACAAGTATGAATGCTTTATATTGTTTTTCTTAAAGTAAATTTTCTCCCACATTTTGCATTTTCTTCTTTATCCTTTTCTTTGTGCTTTTCAGAATTTTACAGTTTATAATAACACAACACAATAATATAATAAAAGAATGATTTTCTAATTTTGCCCTCTCCTACACAGGTCAAGCCAATGGGGTGAGTTGTACCTCTGTAAGTGAGGACAGAATTGGGCCTAGCGAGTCCAACTTTCCTGGCTGTTTGTATTAATGTACAGACTTGGCACCAGAGACTCAAATAAAGCAAATTAAACCTATGTACAATTGAGTAGAGATGGACAGCAAATAGTTTTCCCATCCTGCAAGAGTTTTTGTGATTTTAAAAAATTTCCCATCTCAAATCAGAACAAAAAGTGAAAATCTCAAAAAATTTTGCAAACCAATAATCCAAAAAAAAGGACCAGGTCAATCAAAACATTTCATTTAGATAATTTCATAGTAGTTCATTTCAATTTTGACAATCTATATTTTTTAACCTTTTTAATATAAATTAACTAACATTTCCAAACCGGAAAACGAAACATTTTTTCAAAAGTTTTTCAAATCTGGAGATTCATCAGAACTGATTCTTTTCCACAAACAGTTTTGGGTTAAACAAATCAATACTTTCCAGTGCAAGAATGTTTTATCAGAAAATTTCCAACAAGCTCTATAATTGACAACTCACTTGCAATGACAGGGGTTGGAATAGGAGACTCTGTACACCTTTTCGATCTCTAACTCCTATGGGTCTATAACTTTCCATTTTCTTCTGGAGCAGAGGCATAAGGGAGTCAAATTGAAGCAGGGCAGGTGAAGGGTGTGTCCATAGAGTCTCAGAAATGCACAGTTATGGAAGTTGTCTGAGAACGTCAGTAAGGGAAACTTTGGGAAAACAGTATGCAGATGTTTATCTCTCAGTCTAGTCTCAGTAAAAGAGACAAGGTGGGGGAGGTGAAATCTTTTATTGGACCAACTTTTGTTGGTGAGAGGGAAAAGCTTTCGACCTAAGCAGAGCTCTTCTTCAGGTCACCTGAAAAAGAGCTCTGTGTAGCTCAAAAGCTTGTCTCTCTCACCAATGGAAGTTGATACAAAAAAAGATATTACCTCACCCACCTTCTCTCTCTAACATCCTGGGACCAATACAGTTACACAGCAACACTGGATATTCTCAGTTAAGTCAGTCTTGGCCTTCTCACTGTTGTTTTCTCTTGCTAGAACCATTATCCTGAATAGCTGTCTTTAATCCATTTATTTTGTTCATAGTTACAGATACTTTAGCACGCAACTGTTCACATTATTTACCACTTGAACTTTCTTTGTCACACAGCAAATTGATGAGTCATTACTCATTGCTTTGGACAATCATGTCCCATTCTTACCAATTGTGTGCTCATAGATGGGGATTCATGGTAGTGTGCCAAGATCATGAGAAAAAACCTACCTCTCTGCAGCTGGTGGCTGTACAAGCAATGGCAATTCTGATTAAAGGGAGATTAAGAATTTGATGGAGTTTTATACTTTGGTTTTGTTTCTGATTGGACTGAGAATCCCCAACATGTTAATGTTATTGCATCTTAACATAGCAGGCACGGAGCCCAGGCCAAGGAGGAGTTTTCTCCATGTTAGAGAGAAAACAAATGGAGGTAATGATTTGGGACTACTAAACCAACACACATTCCTGGCTGCCGTTGTTGAGTCTAAATCAGGGGCAGCCAAATCACGGCACCCGAGCCACATGCGGCTCTTTTACAGTTAAAGTCCACTCACGGACACCCCCCAAGCACCCCTCCCATTCCCCACCTACCAGACTGGGGGTGGAGGAGCTAGGGGTTTCTGCGTATCAGGGAGGGGGGGTCTAGGGACTTCAGCCCCATAGGAGGCGCCTGACGGTGATCGGGGCTTTAGCCCCTAGCCCCACTACCCTGACACTGGGGAGAAGCTCCAAGGTGCACCCAGCTCTTGCGAAGACTATAGTCTGCTGCTCGGAGGGTCAGTAAGTTTGGCCACCACTGGTCTATTTTATTACTTACCAGAGGGCAGAATACAACTGGAAAACTTTATGGGGAGGAGAGGACAGGAAGAGACGTTGGAAGAAGGGGAAGAGGTGGATGTGCACAAGGAAAGTTATTGATCTCTCTCCACTGTTCTGTTAAATGGTTCTCAATATATTTGCATCTATAGGTGTTTTATTCTTCCAAATGACACCATTCACTGTGAGAGGGAACTATACCAATCATCCAGAGCCTGGAAGGACCACAAGGCCTACATTGATAAGGAGGTTAGAGGGATTTCAAAATCTATTCTTAATAAAGGTTCTAAACTCTGATGTCATCACAGTGTAACTCTGCATATAAATGTGCTTTGCAGATTGAAGCTCTCCAAGATAAAATTAAGAATTTAAGGGAAGTGAGAGGACACCTAAAAAGAAGAAAACCTGATGAATGTGATTGTAGCAAACAGAGGTAAGAAAAATTTACCTGCAGCTCTGTTTTCCTCACTGATTTACTTTATGAACTCATGAGCTTTTATAGAGTGGGAAAGATTTAACATTGGCTACTGTAAGCTTAATATCCAGAAATGGATTCAAGCTGCAGAGTTTGGATCCAGAGCCTAAATTCCTCAAAATTTGGATCCAGGATTTTGCTTTAACCCATTCTACAGGTAGGAGCCATCATGAATGAATTAAGATCCAGATCTGTATTTTAGCATTAGGTGTGTTTGGATTCTGGTTATATATTTTGACCCATCTCTATTAATAATTTTGATATAGTATGTGCTCATACAAATCATTCCTGCTAGTGAAATAAAACAGACTGTACATTCAACTAAAACAATAATAGTATCTATTTTAAGTGCAGAACATAAAACAGATGGTGTACTTCTATTTTGCTTTGACTGTAGAAAATGAATTAAGTTTTATCCAGTCACGAAAAACTGATGTTTTTAATATTATCTGTAGCTATTACAACAAAGAGAAAGGGGTGAAGGCCCGAGAGAAACTGAAGAGCCATCTTCATCCATTCAAGTAAGTGTCGTTTTTCCCTTTGCTATCAGCTGGGCACTTGTTTTATTTTGCTTTTTAGTAACTGTGAAATATCAGTGATGAGCCACAGTCCAAAATGGCTGTTGTCTGGTGGGTACCAGAAGGTGACAACTTTTGACTAGCTGCCCAACTTGAACCCTCAGAAGCTCAGGATGGGCACTGGGAAATTAAAAACAATGGCACAAATCCCAGTGAAATGAATCATCCTGGGGACTGACTGACTTGATGACCTTTAGTTGGGTCCTATTACCTTTACTTCCTGTACTTGATACAGCATCTATCTGATTTACTTGTGATGAGCGCATCTTCTCACAATGTTAAGAGATAGAGGGGGGAGAGAGAGAGAGAGAAAGACCACCCTTAATTAGGCTCCCGCTCTGGTACATAGTTTCAAGCATTCGGCCTTTTAAAAACTCAAACAAACATAATTGTTAAAGCCCTTATCAAACAAATAGAAATTAGTCTATGTGAACTACTAATTGCTTCCCCTCTGAACAGAGAAGCAGCACAGGAGGTGGACAGCAAACTTCAGCTATTCAAAGAGAACCGCAGGAGAAAGAAGGAGAGAAAGGGAAAGAGGCGCCAGAAGAAAGGAGATGAATGCAGCCTTCCTGGACTTACGTGCTTTACCCATGATAATAACCACTGGCAGACAGCACCGTTCTGGAACTGTGAGTATTCCTTATCTCCACATGCAGACTTCAATGAGGTTCATCCTCCTGTCTCATGTGATAATTTCCAGATAGGACAGTCAACGAGGGCATTATTTTGGAAAGCAGGCACTTATCTTCCTGACACAAAATGCACACAAAGAAGTAATTGCCGTGTAAAGAAATTAATGAAGAGCTGCACTTGTAGTTATTATTTATTTATACTGCAATATAAATACCTAGAGGCCTCAATTAAGATAGTAGAAACACAAAAAAGACATGTTCCTGTGCTTATTTATTAACATCTAATTTGATTTTGTTCCTCTTCTTGTAGCTCAAGATGTCTAAATATTTCAGAGGACTTCTAATTATGCTGTTTTATGATCCTGAAAAGAGGGAAAAAAAGTTCCATTATTTCCTGTCTATATTCACATTTATTTTCCCACCTACCCATATAATACTGCTTGTTAAATTCGGGTAAATGACTTCTTCACTTTGTTAAAGTGAAGTAGAGTGAGGATGAATACAGTGGCTCAGATTTTGCTGTCATTTACAGCCATGCAACCCTGAATAGGAGTTACATGGGGAGTCTATCAGGACAGAATTTAATCAGCTGAATTTAGTGTTAAGTTTATTGAGAACATAATTATCAGACTCAATGAGACAAAACCATAAAATCTGGTATCATGCCCCTATGAATAAAGGGAGACCCAAAAACTATCATAATCTTCACATTAGTTAATGTTATACCAAAATTTGGCAGGAGGAAGGAGGATTTTTCCCCCGGCCCTTAGGGATCATCTCCTGACTTGAAGCGAAAGAATTTATTGATAGTCCATGTAATTTTTATCTAGGCTAGTACTATATCAAACATTACATTTAAGGTATCTACAGGACTTCCATTATAAACCATTGTTTTCAGTTGTGTGTAACTGTCTGAAAAACTCTGCTTTGGGGCTGAAAGTTTCAAGGTTTGATCACAGAACAAAGGGGATTGTTTGTTTGTTTGTTTTTTATTGAAAGTTTAATCAAAATCCATTCATTCTTTTCCACAATTTTTAGGTGTTTTTGCACATGAATAACTTAGGAATAGCTGTTCTATAGAAGCTGAAAATTGTCAGGTGGCTAGATCTCACTGAGACCTAGGGACAGATACTCAGCTGGTAGAAATTGTCAGAGTTCCATTGACAGCTGAAGTTCCGCCCTTAGTCTTCAGACCAGTTTGCTAAAGACAAATAGTGCAAACTGTGGAAATATAAAAATTGGGGTTTACATTTGTAGTGATATTTTGCACATTTGTAATACAAAACTGAGAGTTTTGATGGGGTAGGAATTTAGCATAAATTGAGTAAGGACTTTTGGTTTTAACCCAAAGTAATTGATGTTTTTCTAATCTTTTCCTCAGAGACAAAAACAAACAAAATCAAACAAACAAAAAAAGCAGGGAAACTGAATACAAAAGTTAGTTAGTGCTAATTTTAAGGTTTCGATTTTAAACACTCTGAAATCAGGAAAAGATAAACATTAAGAGTATCATTGTAACCTTAAATCAGACATTGCACATACCTAATATTTTAGGTTAGTAGTTATGCTGTTAAATGTAATACGATTTAACCCTCTCATTCTGGTACATCATCATATTTGTGTGCTGGTTCCACTCACCTCAGAGGGCTGTGTGTCAGTGATGCTGAAAACCTTTTGATGGCCCATACCACTGTCCTCCTTGGGGTTTCCTCGATGGTGCGCATCACCTCCATTACTGCTCCTCCAGGGCTTCATTCTTCCTACTAGTGCCACTTCACTCCTGCTTGCTAGTCCTGCCTCTTTCCTTTCTGCCCTCCAGCTCTGTTACTCTGCTCCTCTTGCTTCATAGTGGCCCCCAGCAACTCTTCCAAATCCCTTCCTCCAATGCCACACTGCAACATCCCCTGCCAGCTTCTATGTACAATCCAAACCCATCTTCACATTTCCATTTCCTCCTCTTCGGTCTCCATAATGTACCTCCTTCTCTCCTGCCTGCCACATGACCTCGCCCTCTCATCATGTATACTCCCTAACAAATGGAGCTCAAGCCACAGCACTGACAACATACAGACAGCTCTCACTAGCTTCTAGAGGAGTGCAGAATAGCACCCTGTGGATGGAATTTTCTGTGAAACTTGTATCCTATATGTTCAATGAGGTTAAGGTTACTTTTAGAACATTGGTGCAAATTTTACCCTGACTTATATACTAAGCAACTCCATTGAATCTCAATCTGCATGAGCAACTGAGGACAAGAACTTTTTTTTTTTTTTTTAAAGGCTTACAGCCTATTCACCCCAGAGAAGTCAGATTTACATCATGTGTCAGTCGGGGCAGAATTTTGCCTGTTATCCAAAGGATTTCATGTCTCCTGTTATTTAAAATGCAGATGTGTTTTCATATATGTTTTTGTATTTAAATAATTTAGGAAATATTTGTGTTTCTGAATAGAATTTAATGGTTTAATTTTAAAACTAAAGAACTTTTCAGAAAAATAAAGTAAAATGATTAAAATCAATAAAAGTTTTACTAACAGAAAAGCAATGTTTATTATTTTATATCTAAAGCTAATCATTTTCTCCCAATTACAGTGGGGTCTTTCTGTGCTTGCACAAGTTCAAACAACAACACCTACTGGTGTTTGCGAACAATTAATGAGACACACAATTTTCTCTTCTGTGAGTTTGCAACCGGATTCTTGGAATATTTTGATATGAACACTGATCCCTATCAGGTAAACCCATTTCTGTTACAAACTCTTCAGCACTAATATTTTGTATGTTTGCACTCTTGTTAACAAATATTTCTTTTTTTCTGATGCCCAGCTGACAAATACAGTACACACAGTGGAAAGAGGCATTTTGAATCAATTACATATACAGCTAATGGAATTGAGAAGTTGTCAAGGTTACAAGCAGTGCAATCCACGACCTAAGGGACTTGAAACAGGTAAAAAAGAAAAAATCTGAAACAAAGCACTATTCATGTATGTTTTTGTTAGGGAGTCTTTTGTTTTCTTAATTACTAAGTGGATCAATTACATCTCTCTCTCTCTCTCTCTCTCTCTCTCTCTCTCTCTGAAAACCTTGCAGTTAATTGTGCATACAGCATTATTAGTGCATTGCAGATATGTTTCACTGCAGATATGTTGGGTTACTATACATGGACATTACAAAGTATTGGGCAGGAAGGTGACCAAGCCATTACACTAAAAAATAATAGAAGAACATGCTAATGCTGCTTAATTACACTCTAGATAGCTTTGTAGGACTTTGTTTCCATTCTCTCCTGCAGGATTAATTTTGTTAGTCTTTGCTTCCCAATAGCGTCCCCATCAAGGAGTGATTAACTGCAAATTCTACATTGCAACCGAGAATGTATGTTGCAGACTTTTAATGGACAGATGTCCCCTCTGTTTTTAAGAAGAGCAAGATATGAGCAGTCCTTTACAAATGTTCCTGAGTTAAAAAAAATATTAAGTGATATTTATACTTCACTTATCTGGAATTTGTTGCACTTCATTTTGGGTGACTTTTACAGGAATATTCTCTTCATATTTTATGCCATTGCTTCTTTATTTTTCTCTCTTTTTTCCATGAAAATTCTCTTAATTTATAATTTCTAATCTGATTTTTGTGGGATTTTTTCAATTCTTTGAACACATCTTTCAGGAAACTTTTGTTGGACTGCAGCTCTGTCTATATTTAACACAATACATTTCTTTTTAGGATTAGATGCTGTGCATGGAAACTACATTGTGAATGGTTTTTACAAGTTCTAAGCACTAACAAAAGTTACTCTTGTATTTTCCTATATCAGGAAATAAAGATGGAGGAAGCTATGATCCACACAGGTATCCACACTTTTTTATTCTCCTCAGCAGCTTCTTTCCAAATAATTGCATGATCCAGTCCATTTCAACTAATGTCTGTATCCTGCCATGTTGCAAACAACATAGCTTTTGGTGCATGCATTTTCTAACAATATTCTCCACTGAACTTGGCCATTGGTTATTAGATCTGCCATTCTGCATTTAACTTAGCTCATTGTCATGGCAAGACTTCATGCAGCTCATTGTAATTAGTCCATGCCTGTATTTCTTATATGCTTATATTGGGAATCTATGTAAAAAGAACAAACTGTTTGTTTGTTTTTTAATATAAGAAGACTATACAGCTGCTTTGTAAATGTAAAACAAGTGTGTTTAAATATAACCTCTGATTTATATATACTCCAAGGGCCTGAGTAAGCACTCATTGAAGTCAATAGCTATATTCCTGCTAACTTCAATGGGCATTGGATGAGGCCCCTACTAGATGAAATAGGGGTGGGGTTGCTGTAGGTAAGCATACTGTATGCACACCACTCACTGCTGCGAGTGGGGAAAACAGATCCAGGGAGAGAGTAGAAAAAGGGACAGAGACATTGAGAAAGCTGAAATCATAACATCACTGTATTGGTATCTGCAGCACTGTCCACTCTTCAGGTTAAGTGTAGAATTAATGGTAGAAAATGATCCAGGATATTTGGACTTGGTTCTGTTCTCATTTTCCATCAATTTTACACCTTTGCAGCTTCATTCACTTTGTTGGGATTACACAAAATGTACACAAAATGTGTATGTGAGGGCATAATTGGGCCTCAGGAGACTACATTTGTATAAATTGTCCATTTTATGGGGAGAGCAAAGAGTGTGTGATTGTTAGCTCTGTGTATCAAACACAGCAGTCAGGAAACAATTAAAATAATCACATCTTGATGTTTTATAAATCTCTAATTTAAGCAGCTGTTTCTCTGTAGAGCCAAGTTTGTATTTTTCCCAATTGTGTAGTTTCATGACTGAGGATATGATGAGCTGTTCTGTGAAATCTCATGATATTTCACAGTTTTGAGCATCTCCTGCTAAAGCCTGATGGGAAACAGTTATTTACTGCAAAGGGAGAATGAGATTCTTGGATTTTGTTGGTTTAATTTTTTTAAATAAAACTATACTTTTTAATCTCTCATATGAAGACTTTCTTGCAAGCATTTTTTTTGCTACCTTTAACTTTACATCTAACAGAGATGGCATTTTTATGTTGTAGGGCTGCATATAATATGGCACCATATATCATTATATTACATCTTGTCATAAAGTCTAGTAGTGAAATCATTCTAACCACTGACTCACCAAGTCATTTAAAATTATTCTATTGGGAAGAGTAATAGGTGTAGCACAATTAAAATAATACTGACCTGTAAAGCGCAGGTCCAGACAGAGTTTCCCAAAGGTCAAAGGTATTTGTGTCCAAAGTTTTGATTCAGACCCTTCAGACCCTGTGAATATGTGACATTTATAAAAGAAACCTTAACCATTTCTTAGTAATCTTTTAAAGGAATCTCTGAGAGGAATCTATTCTTCATGTACCAAAACTGTGCAGAATTAAAAAGGATGTAGCTCCATGCTGTTGTGAGTCTCTTAAAATATTGCTTGGGTATTATGTGGGCCTGCTTAGTAGCTCAGCTTAGATGTATTGATATTTTAAATACTTTAGTTCAGAATTTAACACACAACTAAATGTGTTGATTTATGGCCAATACAACCATATTAGCTGTGTTGTGGCTGCAGGCATATGTGTCCACACAGTTTGTTTAATGCCTATGTAGAGAATGAACACTGCATGCCCATTTCTACCCTTGGATGCATTCAGGAAGCACCTATTATAGGACCTCTATGCCATACATGTGCATTGAAGGGCAGATCTTGACTCTACATAAATAGCTGCCCAGAGTAACCATGAACTATACACACAGGCTGAGACTTTCCAAGCTGCCTCGGGATTTTGATGCCCATTTGCCATTATTCTTAATGGGATGTGAGTATCCAAATTCCTTAGGAAGCTTCAAGGAATCTCAGCCATGAATAACAGTTTGAGTAATTTTTTAGAAGAGAATCCCAAGATGTGTGCTTATGTATGTAGCCTTAGCAGCATTTTTCTACATTGGGTCTTATCCTGTTTATCTGATAAAATGCAAAATACTTTAAAAACAAAAGCACTTCTATATTAATCAGATACAATTCTTCCCTATTTTCCTTCTCTGTGTTTATTTTTAACAAGATTTGATTTATTGCAGGGGGAAACATTTTTCTGTTTTTCCTTTACACTTTTATCTCAATTTATGAAACCTCTCAAGTTCATTCTTGAGTTGTGGGTTTACAGCATCTGAAATAACTCACCCAATCAGCATGCAGTCAATTCTAGGAAATGAGAATATTGTCTTCCCTTTTGGTTAAACTGTGATATAAGTTATTCTGTTTTTCTTATATATTAAAAAAAGTTGCACTTCCTGGCTGCTGTTAAAGCCATTAAACAGCTTCTGCTGCCATCATGGCCCTGAAATGAGACTTGTTTGCTAGTTGGCAATGGGATTTTCATTATATCAATTTGTTTCTCTATATATCAGTCAGAATAGTATGGCATTTGGCAGTTAGATCCCTGACAAAATGACAATTGTCCTACTATAACTGCATAGTAAAATTGTAATTATTGTAGGGTCTGTACTTAAGTTGATGCCTTGGAGAGTTTTAAGGGTAACTTTCATTAATGGTGCCTCCCGTTTATTATCTCATCTAGCCTCTTTTCCTCACAAGAAAGTCCCCAGAATGTTGATGGGAAAATAGATCTCTGTGTCTACAATGTTGCAATTTTGTAGGCCTATAAGTCCTCAGTGAGCTTCTTATTGTTGGGTTTTGTTTCTTATCCTTTTTCAGAAATCCCCAAAAGGGGCACATTTAACCAGCAGGCTGATGTTCTCATAATCATATCTGTTAATACACTAACAAACCGAGAGAGATTTTGCTGGCCTAGTTTCAGTAGCCGGTGAAGTGGGGTATAATGTGGGATATGAACTAAACTGATACACTGTACGGTGTGAGCTGGGAGAGTGAGGTACAGATTTGCCGTCAATGGATGTTTTTTGCCTTGAGCTACTCTAGGAATGAAATTCATGCCCCAAGCACAAAGTCCGGTTTCTAGGGTTTTGTCTGGAGGATTCTAAAGGGAATAGGAGGATGCATTTCCACTTACAGGTGGGAAGCGTGGCTATTGCCACACTGCACTATCCAAGTGGGGCATGCCACTTAGCAGTGAACCAGAACATTAGATAGAAGGTTCCCTGACTTGGCCTATCTTTATCTACAACTCCAGATTACATTTGCTTACAGGAAACAAACAGTGAGTTGAATTAAAATAGAAAAACAACAACCACCACCCCACCCCCAACACCTGCATTTACTCCTGGAATTAAAATATGTCAAAACTTGCCTAAGAGCATTCACAGTTGAGTGGTTTTCCTATTGAAAACATGTCTTCCTTACAGTTAATTGGTTCACAACGAAGATGGCAACTTCTGTGAAGTATGGTCACAGCCATTCACTGACATAGACCTTTGTGTGTGGGGCGGTTAATATAACTATTTATCCATCTATACAAAGATTTGATAGAAGAACACTGGTGTTTCCAAAATACTTCCTTAGTTTGATGGCAGTTATGCCTATAAGATAAGGGACCAGATTCATGCCCCACTCAATTCTCTTTGTACCACTCAGGCAGTGCAAAGAGAGCAGAAACCTTCTTCAAGTCTCTTGCTGAGGATGTCTGTCTTCCATCTCTCCTTCCCCTCAATACCTAGTGCAGGAGGTGTGTCAGGTGTATGGCCAGAATACAATGTGCTCCAACAATCCCCAGATGGTGTATGATCCCTAGGGGTCTGTAGCCATCAGGCATATTTTAAAGCAGCCCTCTGGATGCTTTAATCTGTACTCAGGGCCAGGAAAGGAAATAGGGAGCTCTGACAGGCTCCCTAAAGCCTCTTTGCTGCTATGCTCAGTATAAGGCGGATGCAACAGAGAATCGGGTGTATAATTTTCAGGCACATTTTTCTTCCATGCCTTACCAACGGAGAATGACAGAGTTAAAATTTAACACTTGATTAATACTGTCAATAAATATAAATCTCCAGGGCATCCTGGGAGAGAGTTTGAACATCTTGGGCAAATCCTGCCTCTAGCACACAGTCTGAATAACCAAGCTATGTGCCGCAGAAGGGGTTCTGTGATGGCCCTGGTTAAAAATATCCACATACTCTTGCCTGGGCTGTATGGTTACTACTTCAGCCCTGAGGATGATACAATCCTTGCAGTTCCTATGGCTGGTGGATCCTGTCTCTAGCTTACTAGATCTAATGCAAGGAGCTCCGTGGAGTTGGCCTCCATACATGGATGTGGGTCACCAGGCATCGTGCTCCTGTCTGTGCAGCAGAATACAGGTCCCTCTATGGATGGAAGGAGGGAGGCAGGATTTGCCCCTTATAATAATAATAACCAATGAGTATGATCTGTAACATCAAAAACATTGGCATATTTTGCATTTGGAAAAGTTGCTGTATAATGCATTTGCTTTGTGCAGGGTTTTCCCATAGAATTTGACCAAAACCCCTCAATAACCCCCCAGCATTTGTCTTTGAGCTTCTTCCAACCACCAAATGACAGTTTTTACTGAAATTGTTTTGAATGTTTTATGTTATAAACAGGGCCAACGAGGGGGGGGGGGAAGCCAGTACAAATTACCGGGGCCCGGCGGTCCGGAAGGGGGCCCGGCTTCCCCCCGCCCCTCCTCTCGTAGGCCCTGTTTAGGGGTCCCGAAAAAAAATTTTCACCGGGGCCCGAACCCGTTCTCGGCGGCCCTGGTTATAAACAAATGTTCATGTCAGACTCAGCCAAGACTGGCTATCGCAATGTTTCTCAAGCAGGGCAGCTTAGCTAGATATTAATCCTTCCTCCGAATGTTGGCACTATTTATAGCATTGTATGTCGCAACTCCTGTTAGGCTTTAGGTTGAAGTTGAAATGTAATACTTATGTTCATGGGTAGGATCAGGTCAGTCATTTTAGGATGGGGAAGTATTACAAGAATTGCTAATTTACACCGAGTTACCTTGTTGTGATCTTTAGAATATTTGATGTGTTTCATTATGAAATTCAGGTTCTTGCCAGCCCATTGTCTACACCTTGGCTTTGGACATCATTGATTGTAACATTGCAGGAAAATGTGTTGAGTATCAGAACCTAGTTCCTGCATTCTGGAAAAAAAAGTTGCTCTTGGAACTTTATTATAACAGCTTAGTTCTGTTTGCAGGGCCGGCTCTGGCTTTTTGCCGCCCCAAGCAAAAAAGCCTCCAGCCGCCCCCCCCCCTGCGGGGGGAGGGCGGCCGGAGCCCTGGGAGGAGGGCGGCGAGCCCCGGCGGGGGCTCCGCTCTCCCCCCGGCTGCCAGAGCACAGGGGGCAGGGCGGCGAGAGGGCGGCGAGCCCCGGCAGCGGCTCGCCGCTCTCCCCCCCGGCAGCTGGGGGGAGGGCGCCGGGGGGGAGGGTGGCCAGACCGCCGGGGGGAGGGTGGCGAGCCCGGCCGTGGCCCCGCTCTCCCCGGCGGCCGGAGCGCCGCGCCGCCCCCCTCCAGGTGCCGCCCCAAGCACAAGCTTGGTGGGCTGGTGCCTGGAGCCGGCCCTGTCTGTTTGTTCACCTGATCATTTTAATAGATGCTTTTAGTTCATCAGTGATGCTTGATAAGTAAAATGTTAAGCTGTGCCACATGCCTTTTTTTCTTTAAGAAATAAATTAGCTTTCTTCTTTGAATCCTTTATAATGTACTTTTTTGCAGGCAGAAAATCATTGTCACTTTATTTTGCTTTATGAGGATGGCTCTCACATGACCATTCAATATTTCTTTCATTGTGGTTGATTTCATTACATCTCTTTCAGAAAGAAGAATAACACAACTTTACTCTTCCCCTGCTCTCACCAGAACCAGTAAACACAGCCAGTCCAGAGAGAGAGGATTTTCTGTTGTAAGGAATTTGCCAGTTGGTGGTAGGGCTACTAAATTGAAACATAGGACCATGGAGACAAATGAGCAGTGGGGGTGGGAGTGTTAAAATAGGAGCTAGCACATCAATTTTTAAGGAAAGGATATATTTTTAGAAGATACTATTAGAAAAGTTAAAATATTTCCATTTTTATGTAGTTATGTTAAGTGAGAGAAGGCCAATTTATGTGTAAGATTCAAGCACTTCCCATTGCAGGAGTCAATGCCCAAACTCTCCTTGACTCCAGTGGAGTAGGCTCAAGTCCCAAATTAGCAAACAAAGAACCTCACGAGTGTTTTTCCAAGCCAGACTTTCATCTCTTGGCACTGCCACAGTGTGGTGGACTATGCTTCTTCTCACAAACTCTGAAAGCCAGCAGTAAAGCAAAGAGTAAAAGCTGTGAAGGAATAGGTAGCTACGTCCAGTCTCCTCTGGCCTATGTGAAACATGAGAATATGAGATGAGGCTGAAACTGGTTATGTTTTCCCAGTTTCTTATTCAGAAACCAAAGTTATTGAAAAATACATCCACGTAAGATGAAATGTTTAGAAATGTCATCAAATGAATGTGATTGAATGTGATAAAAATGTAAATTTCTAATTTGTTAATTTATTTTTTAATTGAATAATCAAATAAGAAGCTGGGTTTTGACCGGCTGTCTCTGACAAAACATGTCCTCAGGTTACCCCAAATTACAAGTCCTTGTGATGACTACACTGTTCTGAAGGAGCAGGGACACGCCACTCACTGATCTGAAGCTTCATTTTTGCGTGATATGCTGTGAGTTGTGACATCCTGGCCAGACTTCCATTTTGTATATGGAGTTTGAATAAACAGCTGGGTTTTGACTGCCTGTATATGACATAATGTGCCTTGCATCACCCCAACTGACACATCGCTGTGACTATTGTACTCTTCTGAAGAAGCTGGGACATTGCACTCTCTGACCCGAAGCTTCATTGTTGTGCAATATGCTGTGAAGTGTGACCCCACTTCTATATTGTGGATGGCATTCTAATAAGGAGCTGGATTTTGAGTGGCTGAATATGACAAATATGTCTCGAGTCACCCCAAGTAACAAGTCTCTGTGAACATTGTACTCTTCTAAAGTAGCCAGAATATGCCACCAGCTGACCTGAGGCTTTGTTCCTGCGAAATACATTGCCATGCATCTGCCCCCACTTTAGTATTGCATGGCAGGGTTTGAATAAGGAGCTGGGTTTTGACTTGCTGTATGTGACAAAATATGTTTCAGGTCCCTCCAGATGACTTGACTTGTCCCCAAGACCGTTAGACTGTTCCGAAGGAGCAGTTGCCAGTCTGAAGCTTTGTTCTTGAGCAATATGCTGTCACATGTCATGTCCCTGGCACATGTCTACTTCCATATTGTATGTAGGGCTTGAATAAGGAGCTGGATATTTCCTGGCTCTACGTGGCAAAAGTTACCTAATCTGTTGATCGTATATTAATTTATATTGACTACTTAAGAATTCCCAGTTAACACACTGAGGTTTCGTAGGTTCTTGTCCCAAGATCAGGCCCAGGGTTATTAAAATTAAAGTTTAGTTGGGAACCCCAACATGCACAGCTGCAACATGCACAATTGGGAAAAACCTTCTGTTTTCAGTTAGCAAGTTACAAATACTCTAACCCAGCAAGGTAGATAGAGATAATACAGAATGTGCGTCTGAACAGCCATATGCTCTCACCATCCCTTGCAAAAGGACCTGAAGTGTTAGTTATCCTCACCGTCACCAGTGCTTGTCATCCTGGCATCTCCTAAGAGTTACATCTCCCAAGGCACGCAGGCTGGGATACGACTTTTATAATGTGTTACTCTGACACCACTATACCTAATGCATATTCCATAGGAGTTTCAGCCCCTTTTCCTTATTTGTAGTTTCTCCTGCTACTAATGTTGGGGTGCCCTTCTCCCATAGATTATTAGGGCTTTTACCTCAAGCTTATTAACATATACGTCAGTTAGTTGCCATGGCACTCTTGTGGTCAGACATCTGCTGATGTTCCTAACTTAAAATATCCCAAACTGGTATAAACTAGTATCTTGTGGTTACCCGTCAGCAGTTTAGTCAGTACAGCATTATATCTTGTGATATCTTATGATCTAGGGTTACTTCTTGTTAGCTGCTTATGCTAAGGCTTTTGGGCCTTATGCCTTGTTTAGCTAAGCTATTGTCTTACAGGCCTCAGACCTGTACGCTTATTGCTTTACTGCCTTAACTTATGCCTGTACCTTACCTAACAAATATCTATTCCTATAAGCTACACAAATATGTCTCAGGTCACCCTGTTAAACTGTTCTGATGTAGCTGAGACATGGAACTCCCTGACTTTAAACTTTTTCTTTGGAAATAATTATGGTCCCCTTCCCCCATGAATACTTACACACCCTTTAGCAAGGTAACAGAAGCAGCAAATGGGACTTTTAGAGGCTGTAGCAGCAATGGATCCTATGCTTGCAGTTAGAGGGACTAGGTGAGTGTTGTGTTCATTCCTTCTGTTGCTTGTTTATTCTCTTTGAAAGTTGTATGGCTGGGCTGTGGACAGGGCCGCCTAGAGGATTCAGGGGGCCTGGGGCGGAAGGGCCCCCGCTGCGGGTCTTCAGGGCACTTCAGTGGCGGGTCCTGGAGCGGAAGGACCCCCCGCCGCCGAATTTCCACCAAAGACCCGGAGCGGAAGAAGCTCCGGGGGCCTGGGCCCCCGGAACGAGTGAAGGACCCCGCTCCAGAGCCCCTGAAAAACTCTCGTGGGGGCCCCTGTGGGGCCCGGGGCAAATTGCCCCACTTGCCCCCCTCCCCCCCCCCCCGGGGCGGCCCTGGCTGTGGATCTCTGAACTGCCCAAGTGAAACAGGTCTGTTTGTGTTCTGAGCGGGCCTTGTTATTGGGACCCTTGTGGCTTTGAATGGAACCAGTGTTTGAAGTGTCTGAATGGTTATTCCCTTCCAGTTTGCAAGGGAGGAAGCTGAGCATTAAGGCTTAGTATATAAGTCAGTTGCCAGGTGAACAGGAATGGCAAACTGGATAAGATCAGTGGGAGCTTAGAGAGAATGATTCCTATTTTAGGTATGGCTCCACACTAGGTACAAGATATGGGTGATGAAGGAACAACTGCCGCAACCTGCCTTGAGTGTGCTATATTGCCCTTTCTGCCAGAAGGCAAAATAGATTTCTGGTGTATGAAATGCAAACTGGTGTCCATACAGGAGGAGAAGATTCGTGGTCTGGAAGCATAGGTTGCAACATTGTGCAGCATAAAAGAAAATGAAAACTTCTTGGACAACCAAATTCAGAAATCATTGTCACAAACACCACAAAGGGAAGATTTGTTGATAAGGGAATTGGAGAGAATAGACCCCAAAGAAGTGGACAGGCAGTTATGACCATGGTGGGGGGGGGGGGGGGAGAGCCAGGAGGCATTCAATGCAACTAGAAGTATCAAAACATTTCAAATACTCAGCAAGTCAACTACAGAAGAATCTGTCTCTGGAGGAATGGAACAGAAAGCTACAGGGGACATACCTGATGGGTGTCATTGTGGTATGAAATAAGCAGGAACCAAGAGAGGGTCTTTAACCATCCTAAGAATACAAATAATCATCATCAGTAATTCCATATTAAAAAGAGTGGACAGAGAATTCAGCAAAGGATAAAGGAACTATAGGATGGGATTATATCTCTCTAGAGTGAAGATATGAGATGTAACGGCAGAATTAGATAGTGAAATTGTCTGATAAGTTTCCACTGAGGATGATACACATTGGAACCAATGATACAGCATCACGTGGAACTGCACAGATTATAGAAGACCACAGGCATCTTGGAAGAGAGTGGAAGAAAAGGAAAGTCCAAGTGGTCTCCCCAGACATCTTACCAATCCAATTAGTGAGAGAAGGCAGAAAATACTGGAGGTGAATTGTTGACTGCATGACCGAAGTGAAGCTGAAGTTTTGGTTTTGTTGAACACTGGACCACATTTCAGTTGGAGAGGTGGCTGTACAAACAGGAAGTCCTAAATCTCACAGGTAGAGGCTAACCTTCTTGTTTGGAGACTAACTGGAACTAATAGTTGGGCACTAAACTACCAATGCACGGCGAGGGTGCCAAGGAGGCAAATGCAGTCAAAACCAAAACTCAGAATGTCATGAACAAATTGAACTGATGTAGCAAAGAACGTCAAGAGAATTTTTCAGTTGCTTATGTACCAAAACTAGGAATCTGTGTAACAAGTAAGAGGAATTAGAAATTCTCATTGATGAGGAAAAAATTTATATAATTGGAATTACTGAAACCTGGTAGGACAATTCACGTAATTGGTTATAACCTGTTTAGGAGGATTAGAATGGGTATTGAGCGTGGAGGGGTGGCACTCTACATACAAATACGACTACTTGTTTTAGAGTTATTGATAACTCAGAACCACAGGACCTAGAATGCATATGGATCATTATGCTCATTAACAAAGCCCAGGGCAGGGTGTGGTGGGGGTCTGCTACAGACTGCCAAATCCAACCAGAGAACAAGCTGAGTTACTCTTTACAGACAGGTGCTTAATCTGTTGACAGAAATGGTGCTATTATATGGGTGTTCAATTTGGGAAACATGTTGGAGGTCTCATGAAGCCACTAATAAAACATCATTCCAGTTATTAAAAAGTATAGATAATTTTATAACACAAAAAGTATTGCACTCAACATGAGGTAACTCTATTTTTATCCTCATTATGAAAGATGAAGATAAATTAATCATTAGACTGGATGATTGAGGTTGCCTAAGGACTAGTGCTCATGACCTGATTACATTTAACATGGGCAAAAAGTCCCAACCGGTCATATATATACTTGGTGCTCAAGAGGGCTAATCTCCCCCGCTAAGGAAAATTATGAGTGAAATTGATTGGGAGAAAAAAATGAGGCAGAAAAATATGAATGAAAATTGGGAGTTCTTTAAGAAGAGTTTTAGATGGACAAACAACCATACTTCCACATTCAAGAGAGGACAGCTTTAGTTAAAAGTTCATCCTGATTCAGTGTTTAAGTAGAGGCAGCAATTAGAAATTAAAAAACATACAAACAGTGTATGATATAAGGAAAAAGGGGAAATAATGGCACTCAATATATATTAGAAGTTATGACAATTAATAAGGGAAGCTAAAGACATCAGGGAAAAATCCATGACTAGCAGGGCTAAGGACTACAATTGGGAATTTTTTAAGAATATTGGGAACTAAAGAAATCCTACCAATGGCATACGGGTATAGGCACATTACTAGATGGTGATGGTAAATTGTTAATAATTATGCAGAAAGTGTTCTCTGTTTGGTATTTGGAAAGAAGCAGTATGATGTATTCATATCACATGAGGCTGATGAACTATTTTCTAGCCTGTCAGCAGGCCCTAATAACTTGAACTCAAGAGTCCAAAAAGATTTGGCTTTAGAGATCTTTGGACAACCCATGTTATTTTTTAATAATTTTTGAAATACCAGGGACATTCCATAAGACGGGAAGAGTGGTAATGTTGTGCCAGTGTTCAAAAAGTGCAAGTGGTATGATTTAGGTAACAGTAGGCCAGTTAGCCTGACCACAATCCCAGTCAAATAATGGAAAGGCTGATATTGGATTCAATTGCTAAAGAATAGGAATATAATTAATTCCAGTCAACATGGTTTTATGAAAAGTAGGGTTTTGTCAAACAAATCCTGTTTCATTCTTTGATGACATTGGCAGTTTTGTTGATAAAGAATTTAGGCATAAATTGGAACAAACTGCCAAGGGAAATGGTGGAGTCTCCGTCTCTGTATGTCTTCAAATCACGAGGGGATGCCATTCTAGAAGATATATTTTAGTCAAGCACATATGGTCACTGGGCTTAATACAGGGTAACTGTATGATATGCTGGAGGTGAGACTGGTTGATCTGATGGTCCTTTCTGGCCTGAAAATCTCTGAATCTCGTTTTCCTCTCCATGTGGATGTTTGGTGCAGTAGCTGGTTGTATCAGGATTACAATCTTCTTGTGGAGAGGCAAGCAGCACCAAATTCTGCAGCAATTATGTGCAGCATTTTGTGAGGAAACTTCCCTTCTGTGCAAAATAAGGTCTTATCACACAAATCCATAGGAATGCTTAAATATGTGTTACCAGCACTAACAGCAACAATTGCTCAATTCATTGAAATATTTGTATTGTAATAAATAGCAACTTCTTTTCTTGTTTTACAATTGCAGAGTCAAAGTGAAATAGATTATCAAGTGAGTACATGTCATTTCATAAATGGTGACTCTTACTCATTACACTCGCAGTTAAGTCTGATCACAGAAAGATTCAAAATTTTACTCTCAACTATTTCCATCAGAGATTTCTGTGATGATAGCAAATTACTTGAAAGAAAACAAGATGCAGTTTAGGGGATGTGGCTTAAAGAGTTACTTGCGTCTTTTCAAATATCATTCACTGACTGTTCAGGTAAAAATGAAATGCCCCTACCCCAGAAAAATCCTTCATGATCCCTTGCTGTAGCTCTTTTCCAAGTAAACTGAATATAGTATTAGTATTTAAAATAACATTTCAACTATGGATTAATTCTATAGAAGTCATCAAAATTACTTGCATAAACAGTAGAGTTTATTAAAGCAAAAAGTGTTGAGTTAATATACAACACTGGCAACCATTTTGTATGTTTCCACAAACTTGGTCAAACTCGGGGCTCACATTACTACAGTATGAGAGAATTTTGGAATTAAAAAGGAAAGGAGATGGAGATATTTTAACCACAGACAGAATTCTCCAACTTCCATTTAAGTGTACCATGCCACACTTATGCTGTATGAATCTCACGCCAACACTAAAGGCACTAGTTGGTTCAATACAGAAATCAGATAGTATTCCTGTAAGCACTCTATTGGCGTTTACTGTTTTCTGTGTTTCAGAAATCACTTAGAGCAGCAGAATGCACTAAGTTAAGCCTTGTATGTTTGCATATAATTAAGAAACATGATTATTGGGGAGCCAACTGTGCCCAAGTAGTGTCTTCATATTTTTGTTGTATAATGAGCAAAAGACACCATACTAATCATAACAAATGATTTATATCAGTAACAAATTTCAATACATTTACTCATTTTCCCTTTTCTTAATTCATCTAACGACAAACCAAAGTTCCTAAAGGCTTCTTAATTTGAGACTATCATATAATCTCTGTTAAAACATTGCAGCTGGATTTGCAACCAGTTGGCTGAATATTGACTTTTGATAATTTTTACATGCATGATTGTATGTTTACTAACAAAGAACACACAAAAGTTGGGGTAATGTATTTGTCAGACCAGAACTAAATATTCACCACTGGAAGTGGAATATCCTCATCTCTTCACAATGAAATAGCAGTCAAAGGGACATGTCACTTGGGGTGACCTAATATGTATTTTGTCACATCCCCAGTCAAAACCCAGCTTGTTATTCAAGGCCTATGTTCAATGTGGCAGTTGGGGGTGGGGGATGTGAAGAATCATATTGGGCAAGAACCAAAGATTTGGTCCAGGGAGTTGGCATGTCCAGCTCCCTCAGAAAAATCTGATGGTCACAGAGCCATGCCACTTGTAGTGATCTGAAACTACTTTTGTCATAGCCAACAAATCAAAACCCAGCTCCTTATTCAAGCCCTATGTACAACATGGAAATACAGTGGGGGCGTGACATGATGCAGCATGTTGCACAGGAACAGAAGCTTGGAGATATTTTAACCACAGACAGGGGACGTGTCACTTGGGGTGAGCTGAGATTTATTTTGTCAGTAAGTCTCAGGTCACCCCAAGTGAGACACCCTTGTGACCAGATTGTTCTGAAGGAGTTGGGACATGCCACTCTAACACAAAGCTTTATTCTTGTGCAATTTGCTGTGGAATGTCATGTCCCCAGACCTACTTCCATATTGTGGATGATGCTTTGATAAGTAAGTGATTTTTGAATGGCTGTACGTGACAAAATAAATCTCAGCTCACCCCAAGTGACATGTCCCCGTGACTGTTGTACTCTTCTGAAGTAGTTGGGACATTGCCACTAGCTGACCCAAGCTTCTGTTCCTGTGCTGAGATTTATTTTGTCATGTACAGCCATTCAAAAATCACTTACTTATCAAAGCATCATCCACAATATGGAAGTGGGTCTGGGGACATGACATTCCACAGCAAATTGCACAAGAATAAAGCTTTGTGTTAGAGTGGCATGTCCCAACTCCTTCAGAACAATCTGGTCACAAGGGTGTCTCACTTGGGGTGACCTGACTTACTTTGTCATGTATAGCCAGTCAAAACCCAATTTCTTAATTAATTAATTAATAATTAAGTGCTTAGTCATTTAAATATTAACATATTCAATATATTAATTTGATGGAATTTCTAAAAATTGAATCTTATATTGATATATTTTAAAATAATTTTGGTCTTTGAATAAGGAACGGGGAACCATCCATAAGGAGCTGGCACCACAAATAACATACCAACTTTAGCCTTGTGAATAACAGAGAGGGCAAGTTAAAGTAGAAGAAATAAATTGACTAAGGATCCATTAGCAGCATGGAAGATCCAATGTGGATTAAAACTATTAAATAAAACTACTGGATTATATATGTTGTTGTAATGAACTTCTAAAATGTTATCTAGTCCATCCCACCTGCAGTGTGGTAGGATCAGAGTTTCTGTAAGCCATCTTCAGTCATTCATTATTAAATTTTGTTTGGAATTTGCCAGTGAGGGCATTTCCATTGCTTTCCTTGGAAGAATTTTCCATTGTCTGTTTTATCTTTTTCTGTATTCTTTCTTCTGGGCTAAACCACTGAGTTGAACAGAGCATTTGTAGCAAATATAATGAGTTAGAGGTTCCCATCAATAAGGGATGCTACATGTTATAAAACAAATTTCATGCTCCTTTACACTCACTTTGGGTAATACATTTTACAGCATATACATGTTTTGGGAACTTTGATCACGTCAAATACTTTCAGAGATAGGTTTCCTTAATGTTTTGTCTTTTTTTTTTCTTGGATGAGCTAACACAAAATCCAGCTGACTTGCTGTTTATGGGCTTGTGACGACACTCCATGCCCAGGCAAGGATCTGTGGATGTTCATGGTTTTCTGTCTAAGGATTGCAGCATCAGACCTGTATTACTGGCCAAAGCATCCTCTTAGATCAGGTCTACACCATAAATTTACATCTGTATAACCACACTGCTCAGGGATGTGAAAAATCCACACCACTGAGCGACACAGTAATACCAACCTAACCCCTGGCGTAGGCAGTGCTATATCAACAGGAGGGCTTCTCCCATCAACATAGCTACCACCGCTCGCAGAGGTGGATTAACTATGCCACCAGGAGAAGCTCTCACATCAGCGTAGTAGTGTCTTCGCTGCAGCATTTTCAGTGTAGACTTGCCCTTTGATTTAAAAAACAAACCAAAAAAAGGAGACATTGCAATATAGATTTTAAATAAAAACAACTTTAAACTGCTGCCCCACTGAAGTTATATGCTGCATACTTTTTCACAAAATGAATTACTGGTTTAAAATTGCTTAGTCCTATAACTGAATTCGCCTGAGGAGTTTTTACAAAGCCTTTTCATCTGTGTGCCCTTTGTCAACTGAGATTCATGCGTAAAAAATAAAATTTTAAAAAATCCCTTATAACTTGCCTTGGCAGAATTCTATTTTTTAATAATATGGATGAATAATATTGATGTTTATGGGTTTTTTTTCAATTTTTATTGCTTTTAAATGTTCACAGTTGAGGGAAAGTACGAGGGGTACAACCCAATAATTATTTAAAGACTATAGTCTTTGAGAGTCTAAAAGTTAAAGCTTTATAACACTTAAAGCACAAACTATCAACATCACATGTCAAAATATGCAAAGCAAATATCCTTGAATCAATCTCTAATAAGGTCTCAAAAAGTATTTTCATTACATTGCCTCTCTGTGAATTTTGATTAGTATTTTTTTCATCAGTGTGTATGTGTGTGGGTGGGTGGTGAAATGGACATTTACAGATTTTTTTAAAAAAATTGCATCCTTCCAAGCGTATCTATAGCTGCTGTTCAATAAAGAGAATTTCCTCTTGTTTATCTGAAGGAAGAATTCAGACAATCAGTGTAAAGTGGTAGCTCTTACAAGATGCACCAAATATCCATGCATCAAATTCCCATTCGCTTCATGGAAGATCTGCTCACTGAGGGCTTGCAGGATTGACCTATCATTTATATTTTATTGTTGCTTTGTTTATTCCCATTCCAGTGTGGGTAATTTTTTTTAAAGGACTTGTGAAAGACCAATGGATTGCTTGTCTATTGGATCAATTTCTCTGTCTCTATCTGTAGTATCCTGGGAGGTGGGGGCGGGGGGGGACAGATTTGGCCTTGACTGTATGCACAAAGTTCCCTCTGGGCCAGAGTCTGTTCTTAGTTACACCCATGCTCTCCTACTGACTTCACTGTGGTTACACGGGAGTAGCTGAAGGCAGAATGTGTATCTTTCTGCTCAGCAGGAGTCATGTGCGCACACATGAGATCAGAATTTAGCCTTTAGGGCCGAGTTACTGATACGATGGAAAGTGTGGAGTGCAATACTCATTAGCCAAGTATGTTAGGAATGGTTACTGCTTTTAAATACTTTGAACAGCAAAGAAATGTACGTGGAAGCTTTACATGCTTTTCTAAGGTGGTGGTCCCCATCCGACCTTTTTCTTTCTTTTAACAGGGGACAATTATGGGATGGATGGGAAGGCTAAACTGCCAAATTTCACCGAGGACATCGACTGGCAAGGACTGGAAGATTTATACAGTGTGAATGAAAGTTTGTACGAATACAGATACAACTATAGACTTAGTCTGGATGACTGGACTAATTACTTGAAGGATCTAGATAGAATGTTTGCACTGCTGAACAGTTACTATGAGCAAAATAAAACAGACAAAACTAAAACTGCTCAAAACAATGGGTACGTGGATGAATCACCTATACCATTTACCTGGGGGGGCCTGACCTCTGCTGAGTCAGACGAAGACTCAAGTGGTCTGATTGCAGAAGAGCTGCAGCCTATCGTGCCAACTGACTTGGCAGCCCTAGCTTTGAGCACTGTAATTTTAAATCAAGTGAGGAAACTTGAATTAAATAATGATATTCCTGAGAAAAGTAGTTTGAATTCTGCACACTGGAGAAATCAACAAGCTGAAAAGTGGTTGGAGAATAAAGAGTTAGACAGTTTTGAAATGGATTTAAGTGGAAACGGTTTGACAGAGCTGGAGTCCAGGCATAGCTTCATTCTACAGACAGTTAGCATTCTTCAGAAAGACTCTCACCAGGACAGTGACCCAGTGGAGGATATTTTTGAAGATCAGATATACCTTCCTGTAAGTTCTGATGAACCCACTGTTCATCAAGCTGTAAATGTCTCCATCAGGGATCCAACTATTAGGGCTCAGAAAATGGAGACTATGTTGGAAAAGATGGAACATAACTTTGAAGGAGAGACTTCACAAATCCTAAATGTAGAAGGCAGTGCCTCATCTCCACTCTCCTTGGATTAAATGAAATTGTAAACCATATATGGGTCTCTTTATTTTTGATCAGTAAACTAGTAATGGTAATCACGACAACTGACATTCCATGTTTATTGCAGATACATTTTGCAGCTGAAATGAGCTCAACACTCTGTGTGTGTGTGTGTGTTTATTTCATATATACACATACACATACTTGCACACTAATTCTCCATAATTGAGAAACTAGGTTCCCACAGTATTAAAAAGAAACAGTGTTAACTTTATAGTGCAGTGATGCACACATTTCCTAGACTAGTAATGATTTCCTTAAAGTTTCCTTTGAGTTACTTTTTCTGTTTCCAAAAGGTCCCACATAAATGAATGTCTCAGTCCACCCATGCTATCTGCATAATGTATTTTTGATAAATTATTTTTAACCACTGGAATTTCTTGTCACACTTTTGAGTAAAATGATATTGCACTTTTGTAATCTGTCTCCCAGACCATTTATTAATCTGATCCTTTACATGTTCTTAGTTTGCTCATTGTTTCATGTAATTGTGAAATAATAAAATGGGTTGACAGGAAAGAGATATTCAGCATGGATTGTGAAAACAGATTGGTCGAATATTATTTTAGCAGAAGATATTGCATGTTTTGTTGCCTTGACTTTCAGAAATTTATTTTCAGAAAGGTATAGCTAATGAATGCTCACTGTATGAGGATTTTTAAAAATTGGCTTGTTTCCCTACATATTGATACCATCAGTATTAAAAATTCATGAATGTTTCTAGATTTTTTTGATGATATCCTTACAGAGGTTTCTATGAGTAGAATATGCTTTGTCGCCATTTTTGATTTTATTAGTCTGGACAATATCTTGATATTTTCAGAAAGTATTGTGATCAATTTGGGACTTTAAAATGTTTTTTTTAAAGGCATTAAAGGGAATGGTAAAATCATATTAGACTTACATATTTTAGATACAAAAGGCATATGTGGTCAGAATAGAAGGCTAGACCTATTTTGTTGTTGTAATGTGTTCTAAAGTTTTGTTTTGTTTTTTTCCTGGATTTTACCAAACATTTAATTTTTTTAAAGAATACTACAAAATTGACTTTGAAAATCTGTACTGTTGGTAACTTAATATCTATCTTAGGTTTTTTTTTTTTACATAGGTAGAAAATAAGTAAAATAAAAAGAATCACCTCATACAGATGTATTTCCACCATGTCCAATTCACACTAAAGTTCCTTATGTTATATGTTATTTAGCTTAGTGGGTTTTTTAGTCTGTTGCAAGCACTGCAGGTTAAAATTATGTTCTTTTGCTTTAAGTGTTTAAGTTGAACTATTTTAAAAGCAGATTCTTTTAGTAGGATTTTAATAATTTTAAGAAGCAGTCTTTATGATGGACTCTGTGAATATGTTAAAATTAACTCGCTATGTATCTGATGTATGTGCCATGGGCTGAATGACAGAACAAACGTATTTATGGTCATGAATGATGCTATTTGTAAATAGATTTCTAGTTATTAGGATAAAAACTGTGGTTTTTTTAAATCTTGTACAATATTTCTGTGATACTTTTATAGAACAATTCTGGCTTCAGGGAAGTCTAGAAGCAATATTTCTTGAAATAAAAGGTGTTTTACTCTACCTGCTTCAGAGAAGTCCACATCATCACGTTTTCATAGTAAAATTGCCTTTTAAAAATCATTCTAATTTAATTACATGTACTGTCTTAAGAATCCAGCCACAAATGGAGAAAAAACTTAGAAAACGTAGTTACAAATTATTCATGGTGATTGTGACTATATCTTCCCTCCTGGAGATGCTGCAAAGTAGCTAGTGCCCAACGCAGTAAACCCTTACTCCCGTTGAGGTAAAGGAGACAAACGGCATGATTAATGGTTGCCCACAGGAGTAAAGGTTTGCAGAATCAAGCCCCTTTGTGTCCTCTCTTTTTCCCCACCCATTCCAGTGATGTCTTCCTATAATTTACATTTGTCTCTACCCCACGTAGAGTAATCTTCATTTCAGGCTGCATCCTGGTCAAGGCTGGGAATGGGTCGTTTAAGCAGCATGGAGCACATCATGCCATCGTGAAGAAGGAGTTTTGCCGGTAGCCTCACCTTTCCTTTATGCTATCCTTGCACAATGATGTTTCTTTGGTGATGAGGGTGGACCTATCTTTTATAGGAGCTTAGTTAAGCTACTCTGGATCAACCAGTAGATGTCACTCTAGAGCAGTACACTCTCACTCCTGCCAGAGAGTGGATTGCTCAGCATACCATGCTGGAGTGCTCTCAGCCTTTGCCAAGATCATCCCATCTTACTGATTTTTAAAGTCACAACCATGCCCTTGATAGTGCCAGATAGTAAAAATCTACAGGCCAGTTTTAGTAACATGCAAGGGATCCATGTGGATTTTTTTTTCTTTCTATTCTTTATATATATTTAAAAAGTGAAACTGCAGGACTCTTACTTTGCAACTGAAATGGAAAGTGACCACTGAATATTGATTCATCGTTTTCTGCTGCCTCTGTGCAATTAAAACTATTAATTTTTTATTTAATTTGCTTCCACCGTGCGCACGTGAGGCTGAATCTACTTACTACCCCTTGCTGGCTGGAAGCATGATTCTGCTCCCCTTGCTCACTTTCAGTAGCACCTGACTTTGTAAGTTCTCACTGAAATCAGGGGAAATAAGATACTTCTCAAGGGTGACCGAATGAAGCCCTGAATCAACAAGAATTCATGGAAATGTTTTGGACCATTTAGCAAACACCGAACAAAGGGGCAGTGTCATATAAAGGAGCCAAGTTCCAGCAGTATTTGAAGAATTTTTACCCCTTTTGTGGAAGTTCCTCCAGTGTGAGGGCTCGATTCTGAAGCTGGTGAGAGGAAATACAGTTTGCACAGCATACAGCTCTTTTTCTGATCTGGAAGGTCTGTGTGGGTCAGTCTGGCTCTGAACAGGATTTCCATACAAGTATTGCCAACTAATGACAATCGTCACTTATAGCTGTGCTTATATGTACGCCTATATTGGTGGGTTTTCATCTTTATTCTTTAATTTGGGCTCTAATATCCCTTAAAGCAAAGACTCTTGCATTCAGGAATAGTCAACCGTTTCCCCCTTAAAACATCTAAGTAGTCCAAAGTTTCAGTTTAGTGGGCATTAACCTCATAACCAGACAGAGGCTGTATGAAGAGCTGGCTGATCGTAACATTCAGGCTAAATTGTCCTTATAAATGTAGTGGATTTGTCACAAAATGGTTATTTTTTAAAAACATAAATATATGCCAACCAATAGCTAGATGTATGTTACGGTATGTTTCAAAAAAGCTTTTTTTTCTCCGTTCCCCCTCCCACGCCCCCCAAGCAAAATGTTGCACTGTAATAATCGTCTTCACTGTTTGTGACAATTCCTTTGGGCCCAGTCTGTTGAAGGCAATGGATATTTTGTCATTGATTTCAGTGTGATCAGGATTTGGCCCTAAGAGGCTGATCCCAGTGCCCACTGAAATCAATGGAAGGATCTGCATTGACTGCAATATGCATACAAGTGGGCCTTAACTGAATCCAGATCTTCCATAATCAACTGATGTGCACAGCCCTGCACACCAACTTACACACACACACACAAAGATTTTTTTTTGTCATAAAGAAAACACGCTTGATATGCTATTTTTATTTTCAAATATCAAGTATTCAAGGGTTTGCTTGTAAACACATGTTTACAATAGATGTTGACAATAAATGTCATTAACCACAGTGTGTTATAGATCATGAATATTATTCTAAGTTCTACTGAGAAATATCAATAAAAGGACCTTAAGGTATGCAAAAACAAATGCACCTAACAATTAGTCCCTCTCTTTTACCACAAGCACACTACCCACACACTCTCTCACACACACACACTCTACAAATGACCTAACACCAGTTTATTCAATATAACACTGTTAAACTAAACAATTACAGGCCAGTGTGCCCATTCCATGCTCCTAAACCACTACCCAGATTTTTTTTGGGTGGGGGGAGGAATGCATTTTGGGTCAGCTCCTATTGAAGTCAATGGCAAAACTCCCATTTACTCCAGTGGAGAGAGGAGCAGACCTTTATGAGGAATGCCCACTATAACAATGATTTCAACTTGCATTTCTGCATGAAAACTGAGTTTATACGTTTCTGTACAACTTTTTGGTTTAATACAGCCCTGCGATAATTTTTGTTTTTAAAAATGTTTTCTTCTAGGAGGTAACATTTCTGTCGCCTTGCTCTCAGGCTCTTGATACGTCAGCTCAATGATCCCCTTTGATCTCCTAGCCCAGTTAAGACCATATACAGTAAGACAGAAAAGGTATTACCTTTCAAAGTTCAAAACCAATGGGCCAAATTCTGTCTCCACAGAAACAAATCACAAAATACCTGGAGTGAATTTCAACTGGCTGAATTGGGCCCTTGACTTTGGCTCTTCATTTTGGTATTTTATAGAGGAATATTATTAATGGGACAAATTCAGGTACCTTAACTTTAGTTTAAATTCTCATTGACTGCAGTAGGAATTTTGCTGAGTTAGGGATCCCCAGAATTTGGCCCAATCTTTTAATTCATTGAAACCTTACTTTGAACAGCTGTTTAGCAGTATTCCATAAAGGTATATTAAAACAGGTAATGTTCTACTGGAAATTAGTTATACACTACGTTTCTACAGGTTATATAGTTTTACATTAGTATTTTCGCTGTTAATGCAAGACCAAATCCCGTAGTGCAAGCAATATTCCCACTGAAAGACTAAGTAAGGCCCGTAGGATTTGGCCCACTGGTAATTATGATCTTTGCAGGAACATTTCCAGATTTTCAAAATGAAAGCACATGCCATTACATAAATGAAATTTTTTGAATGCCAGTTAAGTCATGGTGAACATGCATCATAAAATACTTCAATAACAACTAGTACCATGGCATGCTTTAGCTATTCATCCAGAGCAGATCAAGGATGTTAGACAGAAGGGTCTTCATTCTTCCTAGAACGAAAAACATTTTGGACACTTCTTTTTTCAGGCATACTCGAACACAGAGGCTTTTTACCCATCCCATCACATGAACAGTAGCTTGTGGGAAGAAATCTGGTGACAAGTTGTTTGAAGTGTGAGAAAAATAATAATACAATATAAACAACGGATTATACAATGATCTTAAAGGTAGAGATAAGCCTGAACTAAAGAGCCTAAATTCAATAACCCCCACATTTTGGGACAGTTTGGACTGAGGTCTGAACTTTGAGGGTCAGACCCATCTTCATTTATAAGGTGACCTGTAAATTAACAGAAAACAGCTTATATGTATAATGAGAGGCTTGTAGATGTTTGCAATATGATGACAGGTTTCAGAGTAGCAGCCGTGTTAGTCTGTATCCGCAAAAAGAACAGGAGTACTTGTGGCACCTTAGAGACTAACAAATTTATTAGAGCATATTTATTTATTAGAGCATAACTAATAAATTTGTTAGTCTCTAAGGTGCCACAAGTACTCCTGTTCTTTTTGCAATATGATGATTCATCTTACTGACTACAGTTAGTCGTAGTACATATTTACAGAAATGTTGGCTGTCTACCTGTATGTGTACGATCTATTCTATGGAAATGTTTATATTTAACCATTACAAATTGCTGTATGGCATAAAAAACACTAATTCCCTATTGAAGAATGAAGCCAATGAAGTGGACTGTCCAATTCTGAACATTTTAAAGGGACGATGTTAAGCAGTTCAAGCCCAACAGGTAACGTACCTTAAGTGTAACCCGGTAGGGTTAAATCAGACACACTTCGCGAACATGGAAACCAATCCTGCATTCCTCTCAGGCAAATCTCCCACAGTGGGAGTTCTGCCTACCTGATGTGAATAGGCTTGAATTTATTATTTGCAATGCTGGTGCACAAAGTAGCAGATCAGAGTTAAAATGACTCCCCCTAACTCCATTAGAAATAAATAAACTCTTGGAAATGGACAAGGGTAAACTTGGGAGGAAAATATTCCGTGTCAAATTATAAAGACACTATTACAAACTGGAGAGGAAATAGCATACAAACTCTAAGAAAGAACCCAATAATGTTACTTTGACTCCCACTTATTCAGCTGGTTTTTAAACACTTTAATTTTCTTAAGTTTCCAGCTTGTGGAGGTTACAGTATCCTCTTTAATAATAATAGGCTGATGTAAATGACTTCAATGGAGCTACATCACCTTACAACAGCTGAAGGTCTGACCCCCCAAAACTCTACAATAGGAGACCTTGGACCTGGTTCACCATTGCCTCACCCCCGTTTTACCCTGGCAAGGAGCCCAGTACCACTTGCAAGGTGCTGCCCAGCCTCTGTGCTCACTGACGTCAGTGGGAGCAGAGAGGACGCTACACCGGGCTCCAACAGCATATTGAAGATTTGTAATTTTGAAGACTGAAGAACACATTCTTGGCCGGATCTGACCCTATGCTATTAAATTAAACAAGACTCATAGATTCTAAGGCCAGAAGGGACCATTTTGATCATCTAGTCTGACCTCCTGTATAACACAGGCCAGAGAATTTCACCAAGTGGCTCCTGCATCAAGCCCATAACTTTTGGCTGAGCTACAGCACATCTTTTA